CTTACGCTTTTTTAATGCCCCAGTATATTGTAGTGCTGTCTGTTTGATATAGAATGTAAACCGTTTGACATTTCCAACGAATTGTAAACAAAATGTAAACAACCTTCCATAATTCTAACTAAAAACGGCTTTTTCTTTTCCTCACTCACTCAGTTGACTCTGTTGCTGGGCGATAGTGAGCGCCTTGTCACCTCCACGCTGGCCAAAATCCTCCTCACCCTCTGTCAGACTGTTGACTGAGAAGGAGAGTCGTTTCGCGCCAGAGGAAGAGTGATGACTATGCTCTACCCCATCCTCACCCGTTGCGGTCCGCTTGCGTCTGACCAACGGTGCAACAGCGGTGTAATCGAGTGCATCTCCACCACCACCGCCACTGCAACTTGGGCTTATGCTGTGAAGGCCACCACCACCTCCACCACTACTGCCACCACCTCCGTCTGCCTCCTGTTTCCGCCACTTGGCTCGACGGTTTTGGAACCACACTTGAACTCGTGACTCAGAGAGTTGAAGACGACTGGCAATGTCTTCACGAGTCAGGGCATCGGGGTAGGGACACATGTCAAATGCAGACTCGAGCACAGAAAGTTGGTAGACAGAGAAGGTCGTTCTAAAGAGTCAAATAGTAACCTTTCAGACCGCATACTACGCTTGCCTAGGACGCTGATTATCACACATTCTGCACTGCATTCCCAACTCAAATGCCTTCCTCCACGCAATCCCGTGTGCAAACTGGAGTTTAGTGCATTTTATCAACCTTTGTTTTCACATCCGAACTGACAAGACAGAGGCACGAAATCGGTAAACAAGCCCCCGCAGTCACAGATAAATTTACCGCCAAATGCAAATGGACTGGAGCCTTGCCAACATCTCTGTGACTCTTTCTACAACACGTTTGGGTAGATGTCCAAAGCACCCCATCCGCAAATAATCACGAGAGTCTGTTTTAAGTAGTCATAAAATTTTAAGAAAACATAGGACCACTTGTTCACAATGCATTATTTCAAAAGACTCGCCTATCTATAAATAGGTCTATTTACCCAAAGAGTCATTAAAGTCCTTTATTCGTGGAAAAATCAAGATCACACAATAAACCGACCGATGCCTTCCTTAATGAGGATAAAAAAAACGAACTATGGATTCCCCGTTCGCAAACCTCTGAGTAGAATCGTCTCATTAGGGG